AAGCGAACGGAGACTCTGCCTCTTGCAGGTGAGTGACAGCACAGTGCTGGCATTTCCTCATCAGTGGGCAGATGTCTGTGGGGACATGTGGTGACCCCAGGCCCACAGCAGAGAGGAGGTGTTTGGAGTCTGCCAAGACGCCTTCACAGCATACTGCACAACTCAGTGCTCAGCTTATGGAGACATGCAGGGAGGTAGGAGGCATCTCCACCACCCCAGTGTGAACTGCTGAGGCACTTACAGTGGTGACCGGGTGCCTGGCACTAGCCTGCTTCAGACACACTGGGGCCAGCTCAGTTATGTCCCACTGTGCAACCTGAGCCCAGACTGCTGAGAAAAAGCTGTGAGGAAGTCAATGGGATGCTAGAAAAATACAGGTACAGTTAAGGGTATGGGTGTTGAGATGGGAGTGGTCAGTTGCTCAAGGATTCAGGAGGGAAAATGGCCAAGTATGAGCTCCTGAAGGAGGAAAGCAGGGAGGCTGGTCAACAGCTCAAGCCACTGGTGGGCAGAGTGGGTGGGAGACAGCAGCTCTGGGACACCCAGACCTGGCCCTTCCCCTCCCAGTGCCCCTGAGGCCAGCAAAGGCTCTACAGGTGTCACACCAGGGAGCAGAACCTCATCCTGATAGCTTGTTAATCTTACCTGTCCTTCATGTCCAATTAGCCCATAAGTAATTGATTTACACTTCTAAATTGCATTTCTCTTACTGACAGAGTCTCTTTGCACAGAGCTAAAAAGGTCCAAACAAGCTGACCCAGAAAACTGGGGTATAACATCCATGTTTTTCAAGTGGTCAACAGCCCATTCTTCCACCCTTCCTCCTCCAGGTGACCTTTTGCTCTAAGACCAAGGAATGACTTATTTTGCTCTTGCTCCGGAACTCTAATTACCCAAACCATGATTTCACATACTCAGACATGGGAAGCAGAAGGCTTTAGCAAGGATTTAATCTGCTTGACAATCATATCACACATCTATGGTTTTTTAGTCCCTCTGTAAATTTATTTACTTATTGTGCCTTTTACCAATGTACAATGGATGTGCATTAGTGAAGCAACCAAAGTAGAATTAAATTGCTTCTCTATCTACTTTTGCTTTAAAAATCAATAGATCTGTGACAGTAATGTGTTTTAAACATACAGAAATGCTAGATACTTCTTTTCTCATTGAGTTGTCCAAATATTTGCTTGTTATCCTCAGAATACTTGTATTCTCTAAGCAAAAACATTATACCACTTTTTTCTTTCGCACTTTAAATAAAAGCTTAGCTTTGCCTCTCCATTCACTTCTATTGTTTTTGTTACTTTTCACAGACCTGTACACAGGTCCATATATTTTTTGTATGTTTTAAATTTTTCTGCAGACCCTTTTTATTGGCACCCTAGCCAATTTACTTAGCAATATCACAGAATCACAGAATCATCTAGGTTGGAAAAGACCTTGAAGATCATCCAGTCCAACCATTAACCTAACACTGACAGTTCCCAACTACACCAGATCCCTCAGCGCTATGTCAGCTCGACTCTTAAACACCTCCAGGGATGGGGACTCCACCACCTCCCTGGGCAGCCCGTTCCAATACCTAACAACCCGTTCTGGAAAGAAATACTTCCTAATATCCAGTCTAAACCTTCCCTGGTGCAACTTGAGGCCATTGCCTCTTGTCCTATCACTTGTTACTTGGTTAAAGAGACTCACCCCCAGCTCTCTGCACCCTCCTTTCAGGCAGCTGTAGAGGGCGATGACGTCTCCCCTCAGCCTCCTCTTCTCCAGACTAAACACCCCCAGTTCCCTCAGCCGCTCCCCGTACGACCTGTGCTCCAGACCCTGCACCAGCTCCGTTGCCCTTCTCTGGACACGCTCGAGTCATTCAATGTCCTTTTTGTAGTGAGGGGCCCAAAACTGAACACAGGAATCGAGGGGCGGCCTCACCAGTGCCGAGGACAGGGGTCAGATCCCTTCCCTGTCCCTGCTGGCCACACGATGATCTATTTGAGTAGAAATGGGAAGTTTACGCAATAGTCTCCCTGGACTTCTCTGAATATATTATGCACTGAGTCACACTGACCATAGTGCACCTTTATCTTAGAAGCTACGCAGTCTGGCAACACTTGCACAGGGACCACTAGAAACCCAAGGTCCTATAACTGTGCAGGGCAAGGAACTGAAGATGCTGTGAACACAAGATCACTGAAGGACTCTGTGTATATTATTAAGCTGAAAGGAATAAAAAGAATAAAAATGCCTGGGAGAACAGAGCATTGAGGATCCCATCCAGAACTGGAAAATTTCCTGGACTGGTAAGAACAAGCAGAATATTTCTAAATCCATCCTTCATCAGCTCATGATGGGATGCACCATTCAGAAAACTCATTCCAGTTTTGCCTGATTTCTCTCATGTCTTCAGGGCTGGTCAGGCCCTCAGCAAACCTACAAATACATGCATAGTTCGATGGGGTGAGACCACTTTTAGATCCCCACAAGCCTCCTTCCAGTCTCACGCTGAGCATAGCTTACTGTGAACAGAAAAGCTATACACATCTCTGTTCAGATACTCATTTATAGTTGGGCTAACTGGAAGAGAGTTTCCAAGCAGGTCTAGAGCATGGTTTAAATTTAATCCCATATATCACAACTGAGACACCTTTATCAGTCTACTGTCACATCCCATATTATCACTGTGTTGCTGCCCTGCTCAATCTCTGAAAGGACTTTATGATATGGTAGGCTGCAGCGGAGAGAACAAGGCTCATCAACCCCGACAGTCTACTCCAGTCTTTTATTCCTGTCTCATTGTGTGTCCATCACTCTGTTTTTTAGCTCTAGGTAGCCATTTTTTCTGTGACAAATGTTCTTACTTCCTGCCCTTGCTTGATTAATCTTTTCACCAGCTGTATTTGTGTTTGCAGAGTATGTGTTGCTATGCATTCATTTCACCACCTCCACACCTCAGAGCATTGGCAACAATCACTTACATTCTTTAAACAAAAATGCTGTTAACTCTTTGCATCCAAAGTAAGGAAAAGGAACATCAGTATTATGATTGTGACTAGACAATGACTTCGTTATAGAAGTCTGTGCACTGTAGGAGGCGAAGGAGGGACAGCATCACCTGGGAAGACATGTAAGAATAGACAAGACTTGAAATGACAGCATCACAGTTCCCTCTGCTTGGTCCTTACTTTGTGGGATTGTAATTATTAGCAACAAATGAATACACTTGCCCAACACAAGCTGGCACACAATGGGGAGGAGAGTGGGTGGCAGAGCAGCAAAGATGCTTGTGCGTGGTTAAATAACAAGTAACTAAGGTTCTAGTAAGCACTCAAGAATACATGCTGTAGGTCTTGGGTTTTGAAAGGTCAATGACATGGCCATTTTATGTGCACTGACAACAATTTCGCACCTTTGTATCAGCTATTGGAAAGAAATTGCCCACCCAAGGCCTTGGCAGATTGTGCTATGGCCCAGGAGAGGTGCTTGCTTTCTTCTGGGCTGCTGGGGCTGGGCACCACATTTTGTCCTGTCAGTCACTTAATTAAGACTCGTCTATCAGATGTGGCAGGTGCAGCTTGCAGTGCCAGCGGCCAATATCTGTATGCTCCTATCCTGCTGCTCGCCAAATGGAAATGTGCAACAGCCTAAAAGAGAGTTTGTTTCTGTCTCTGCTTTTGCTTTAAAGTATTTGAACACTTTACAGATAGGCTTTTTTTGTTTCTTTGATTAGGTCTTATTTGCTTCTTTATATTTATTTCAAAGAGGGCATTCTTACAAAAAGCTCCAAGGACACTCTGTGCTGTTTTCCCAACTCCATAATTTTCTCCTTACAATTTTTCTTCAAAGAGTGAATAATACACTATTCAGTGTATTGAAACTGCATTCTGCTAATGGAAACACTGCCTGAAGCTGCTTTGAAACAGCGGTCCAGACCAGCCCACAGGACTGAGCAATCTGTGAGAAGGGCACGGGGAGTCCCCTGGTATTGCCGTGTCCTGGCAAGTAATTTTGGCATTCATGGGAGTTACAGCCACAAAGATCTGAATCTTCTGTGCTGGGTCTTCTGGGTCTCAGCAGGATTTGTCTTCAAAACTTTGCTTGTTTGCCTAATGTTTGACTTGTTTGCCAGGTTCAGAAGTGGCAGAGTCCTTACACGGAATCGTCTTGTCCTCTGCTGTCAGGACAACTCCTTCAGACAATCTGTCCTTCTCTATTCTGCCTTGTTTGGTTCCTTCTCAGCTCGCTTTCCCTCTTGTGCCCCTGCTTTCCTGCCTGGTAGCCATGCAGGCAGGTGCTGCACACTTCTACTTCCCATGGGCATCCTTATTTCAGCTTCACACCAAACATCCCTCCCTCCATGCTCTTTGCTTCCCCAGAGCCTGGTCTCCCCAACAGCACAGTATCCATTAATGACAAATCTTCAGTTCCTCCTCCTCTACCATTTATTTTCATATCACAGTTTATCTCTTCAGAGAAGGCACTGGCAAGAAAAGTCAGTGAAGGTTCGTACCAACCGGTCATTCATTTTATTATGTAGTTTTGGCAACAGCCTATTTTTTAAATCATTTATGCTTGAGGGAGAAAGTGTGTGGAGAGCCTGCCAACGTGGTGTGAGCTCCTGAGATTTTCCCGTAAATCTTGCGGCAGCGCGTACGTTTCTTGAAGTCTCAGCTCTGAGAGCGCTGCGATCATTTGATAATCGGATTTTATCTTTTCACGGAGTAAGTCGTGAGCTCCCGTGATTATGGAAAAGAAGCCAGGGGAATGATCGCGCTAGGCAGACGCACCAGGGCAAGCCCACAAGGCTCGCTTCATCGAAGCTCCGCTCCAAACCCCGGTCAGGACTCTGGGGCTCGCCGGGCACTGACTGCTAAACGGCGAACCTTGCCGGCGAGACCCAGGGGGCAGC